GGGCGGGGTGGGAGCGAGGGCGGTGTGGGAGCGAGGGCGAGGGTCGAGGGCGGTGTGGGAGTGAGGGCGAGGGTCAGGGGCGGGGGCGAGGGGGGAAGGCGCCTGGGGCATGCGCGCAGCTCCGCCTTCAGCGCCGCTTTGGCTTCGGCCTGCATCTTCTTGTTGGTGGCGGCCAGCTCTGCCTGGTTGGTCTTGTGGTAGTCCTTGAGGCTCTTGGCGTGCTTCTTCTCGTCGGCGCGGATCGACCTGGCCGTCTCCCCTAGCTCAGCCGCGTGCCGCACGCGCAGCTTCTCGCGCTCGCTGTCGCCCAGCCTGAGCAGCGCGTCGCGCCCCCTGGCGTCCTGCTGCGCCAGCCGCTGCATCTCCGCCTCGTGGTGTCGGCGCATCTGCTCGGCAGCCTTGTTGTGCACCACCCGCACCTTCTTCTGCTCCTTCAGCTGCATCGCCACCACGGCTTGCTCCACCTCCAACTCGCTCCTCTGCTGGTGCCGGATCGTCCGGACCTGCTGCAGCGCCGTCTCAGCGGCGGCGCCGCCCGTCGGCCCGGTCGCAGCCGCCAAGGCGCCCTCGTAGCTGCCCGGGGTGACCGGCGGCGAGGGGCCGCCCAGGCTGCGGCGCGCCAGCTCGAGAGCGAAAGTTTTGTTCGAGGCTGGCGAGAGGACATCGCACCTGCTGGGAATCGACGCCGCCGCCGCAGCCGCCGCCGCCGCCGCCGCCGCCGCCGCCGCGGAGCCGTCGCGTGCCATCGACTCGTCCCATAGCTCGCGCGGCTTCTTGGCGCGCGTCACCAGCTTGAGGATGGTGTCGCCTGGCCGCTTCTCTGCGACAAACGGCTGCTGTGACAGCTCGACGGCGCTGCCGCGCTCGGCCGGGCTCTTGACCAACATCGCTGCCAGGAAGTCCCGGAGGGCGTCGCTGTAGCCTCCGTCGGCGGGCAGCGTCGGCGGCGCGTTCATCGGTATGTGGTACAGCGCCGACATGGCGTTCATCTTCCACAGCGGCGGCCGACGCTCGGCCATCTCAATGCACGCGATGCCGAGGCTCCACACGTCGACCTTGCCGTCGTAGCTGCCCGCCTCCATCGCCATCACCACCTCGGGCGCCATCCAGTAGGGAGACCCGACCAGCGAGGAGGCGCGCGAGCTCATGCTCCCGCTGCCGAGGTCGCCCAGCCGCACAGAGCCGTCCTCTGTGAGCAGGATGTTTGCCGCCTTGACGTCCCGGTGGATCAGGCCCGACTGGTGCAGGTACGCGAGTGCGGCCAGCACATCGTGCGCGACCACCGCAATCTCGGCCTCGTTGAGGGGCGCCTTGAAGACTTCCATCACGTCCGTGACCGAGCCAAGGGCGAGCTCCATGGCCAGACAGATGGTCATTTCGTGCAGGTAGCAGCCGTGGAACGTGAGGATGTTTGGGTGGTCGCATCGCCGCAGGAATCGGATCTCACGGTAGGTGTCATCCCACTCATCGCTGTCGAAGCCCTTGACGAGCCTGATCTTCTTGACGGCCAGGCGCGCGCCCGTGGCCAAATGCGAGGTTTCAAAGACCTCGCCAAAGGCGCCGGACCCGAGAAAACTCATGTCGCCGAAGATGGTGGCGGGGTCGCACTCCTGGATGAGGGCTCTGGCCTCGTAGGGCAGCGTCGCCCCGCGGATGCCCATGGCGAACGACGGTCGCGCTGGCTGAAGATGCGCCGGGCTGCAGATGCGCCGGCTGCCGCGGGCGCTGCTCTGAGCCCAAGCAAGGTGCAGCGCGTTGAAGATGAGCGGATTCACAAGCGCAGGCAGGTCAAGAATTCCTACGCTGGCCGGCACCAGCTCCCGCGGTCTGCACGCTAGGAGAGGTCCGCCCTCGCAATGAATGCGGAATACTATTACGAAAAGTACAACTAGTGCGACACACCAGTCAGTCTCGTGCAAGAGCGCGGATACACACACAAACAACAGGCACAAGCCGTACAGCTGTGTGTAGCCTGAGCCTCAGCCGGCCCCCGGCGGGCTTAAGGACGTCGAGAAATATTGAATATATTGCTCCAATACTTAGAGATGCGATCAATATCAATGTATATATTGCAATAGGTTAGAGAGGAGAGGCTGGGCCTGGGCTGGTGAGGACCGTCAGGTTGGACTCAACATGTCAATATATGGGGGCCCACAAGCATCCCGGGCTTGAAACATGAAATTGGCTTTTATATTTACACCCTCACGCCAGCGCCCTCACCAGGTCCGGCAGCGCCACCTCCTCCTCCGGGCTGAAGGGGCGCAGCGCAAACGCCCACTCCACCGGCTGCTCGAGCGAGAGCCGGTGCTGCGGCAGCGGCTGCGAGCCCCACGAGTCGATGCCGCCGACGCCGGCGTGCGCGCCGTCGATGCAGAGCGTCGTCCACGGCGCCTCCTGCAGCGAGCCCCCGTGCCGCACCTCGGGCACCGCCGAGCCGGGCCGCACGTCGAAGTCGTCGAGCGCAAAGTGGTGGCACTGCATCGGCAGCGGCGCGCCCCGCCGCGAGACGACGAGCAGCCCCGCCGAGCCGGCGGCGTCACTGAGCGCCATCCAGCGCGTGCCCATCTTGTTGCCATTCTCCTGCGGGCGGCAGTACCTGTGCGTCTGTGCGGCCACGCTGCCGTCCCACACTCCGACGCGCGCCCCCGCCATCCGGTCCGGGTAGCTCTCGTGTGGGCCTAGCCCGTGCCACCGGACGCGGCTCGCAGCCGCGCGCGTCAGCGCCGCGACGAACCCGACGCGCAGCGGGGCGGCGCGCTCGCCAGCCCGGATCTCCCACACTGCCGCGCTCTCGGCGCATGCCAGCGGGCTGTCGGCCG